CCATAAGAGGATCGGATCGGATTTCTGCTGTGTTGAATGGCGTAACAATAACTTAAAAATTATACAGAGCAAAAGTTTTTGTTTTCAATATCACAGTACTTTTGGTTGACCTGGAGAAATATTTAAAAAAATTTTTAAAAAGAATTGTACATGGGGTTCAGAGCCACCTTAAATTCAGTTGTATGGCTTGTGACCCACACTGCCTCTGATAGGAATGGGGGTGGAGAGAGGTGGGTCTTAGAAAAAAAACATATAGCAGAATGCAAGTGGAAAGTCACAACTCAAAGGCAATATACCTTCACAGAAATTGATAGGTGTCAATTTTTATATTTCAGAGACTTCAAATATGTTTTCTAAAAGCACTTATGGTTCTGTTTGTGGCACACTAGCCGCATACAGAAGCCAAGTTGAGCAAGGAACACATTTCATTGAGGTCAATAGGATGCAATTGTCTCTTCTTCGGCAACTGATGTGCAGTTTTTGTGGACTTGTGTAAGGCATTCGATACAATAGATCATTCTATTTTGTTGAGGAAACTGCTCTTTCTTGGAATAAGGCAAAGAGCTAAACTGGTTCAAAAACTATCTGTCTGGCCGCACCCAAGTTGTTGGCATCGGTGGTGCCTCGTCTGATCCTCTACACATAACATCTGGTGTTTCACAAGGTTCCATATTGGGCCCTCTAATCTCTGTTATTCATATGAACGATTTGCCTCTCTGCATCAAGATTTGTAATGTGCTTATGTACACAGATGATACCGTTCTGTTTTGTGCTGGATCTAACTCTAAAGTCATCGAAGACAATCTGAATCAGGACCTGAATACATTGGGTGAATGGCTTCAAGTGTACAGCTTGTTTCTTAATACCACCAAGACTGAAGCCATGCTATTTGGAACTCATCCTAACCTGTCCAAACATAAAGACTGATATTACTTTTCATGGACAAAGTTTGAAACGGGTAAACAAGTTCACTAATCCTGGTATTATATCTGATGAGACTATTTCTTGGGCTCCCCACATTCAGTACATTTATCTAAGGCTGGCAAAAGATTAGGTATGCTCTATCGATTACAAAGAGATTCAACTTGTCATGCTGTCAACACTTTATATCTATCATTAATTTATCCGTCCAATTTTTGTGTCTGCTATTTGCATATGCAAATGCAGACACTATACAGAGCTGTAGAAATTTCGATCACTACTTCATATACTACAAATGTGAAAATGTTTTATAGAGGTTTGACTGAGATTTTCATTCAAAGTCCATTTTGTGATGAATTACATGAAAAACAGGTAAAGCGTAACCATTTGTCGTGAATCTGTCGTGAACCACGATGAATGTCGTCACGTAATCGTGAATTATCGTAACCCTTACCATTGGTTGTGAGAAAATTACGAATTCAAAACAACATTCGGAACCAATAGAATTCGAGGAAATGAGTCGGCATTTGCGTCAACGATCATGTGGGAAAGAAGGCAACACACCGCTTAGAGAACAAAGAATATTTGTGTTTTGTCTTCGTTGCTTTGGGTGCACGGTTTGGACATTGGAAAGCAAGGTACGTGAGTGAGCTTTTTTCATTTTCTTAAGTTTGTCATGAATTTATTAAAAGGTGTTGTCTCGATATGTCACAGCTTTCGAAGTACGGGTCAACCTGGCCAAATAAATGGCTTTGACAGATGCTTTCAAGCTTTCAAGCTGTCGATCTATGCACAGCTCGGCGCCATAAAGTTACTCCTGTGCTTGCGAAGACACAAATGTTAAAGTTTTATCAGCCCCATATGGGGAAACAAAGGCCCTTCAAGGGAATTATGGAGCCCCGTTTGGGGATTATTGAGCCCCGTTTGGGGATTATTGAGCTCCATTGGGGGATTATTGAGTCCCTTTTGGGGATTACAAAGCCCGCTGAGGCAATAAACAAGCCCTGTTTGGGAGATTTTGTCATAAGCTCTGCTGCTTCTGAGGCGAAAACATCCATCATTGCCCGAACGTCTGCGAAAGCTGTGGACAGTTTATACGCACAAATTTGTTTAAGAACTAGTAATCATCTCAACAGCTATTATCTAAAGATAATTTTTAGCGAACCTAGCCTTGATATCAGAACTAGTAGTTTTGTTTATAACTATTAACTGAGGAAAAGTTTAAGCAAAACTTTCCGTGCAATGATGAACGTTGCTGTGGCCTTGCCGCCATCTTGTGTGAAAGAATTTCGTGGCCATTCAAAACTAGTTAAACAAGTGAAACGAAGTAGAGACCAAGAGCCGTCTAGATTACCGAAAAAGATTATGAGATCTATGAAAAAGAGAAAAGTTAGGTGCAAGCTGAAGTGTATTCTTAGAAAATATACTCCTAAATCGTCCAGATCGTATGGCTTAGTGACTTACTATAAGTTATGGTATGTAACATATCTGCAAAAATGTGAATGTTTTTTCAGTAACTTTTTAAAACTAAAAAGTTTGACAGCAAGCAAACTTTTGCAAAATAACAAAAGAATAACTAGTTCTTGCTAAAATAATCACAAAATAACAAAATCAACCAGCAGTACCAAAAGACACTGTGTCTCAAGAATGAAGCTTTTGACATCTGGTGATATTGAGTTAAATCCAGGCCCTCGACAAAATTTAAACAGTCGAACTTTATTGTCAGTTGGTTCCACTATGTTGTTAAACTTGCGATTACGTCAGCTGGAATGAGACCTGTTGATGTTGGTGGTGATGGCAACTGTTTTTTCCAAGCAGTTTCTCATCAGTTATATGGTGATCCCAATCATCACTTACTCATTAGACAAGCTGGTGTTCAATACCTTTGCAATAACCCAGAACGTTTTATTGAAAGCAATACTGAGAATTCATGGAATGAATATATAAATAATATGTCAATGCAAGGTACATGGTGCAATGCACTGATTGTACAAGCAGTTGCAGACTGTCAAAATGTAGCAATTCATATCATAGAATCTCATGAAAATTTTGCTGGGGAAACTTTGATAGAGCCACATTATTTAGCACAACATCCACCAACAACAATATATTTAGGTCATTTGGATGAATTGCATTATATATCAACCGCAGCAGTGACATGTGGTTTTGATGCATTAGAAAATCAACACAGTACATTAAGGTCAACAGAACAAGATGTTCTTTTTGAACAACCACGGAACAGCAGTCCAAAAAGAAAACGTGATGCTTATATGAAGAAATACAGGAAAAGGGTTAAGACCAGTGAAAGTCTTAAATGCCAATTAACAAGTTGTGAGAGGAATCAAAATACTGAATGTCAGAGTGAATATAACAAAGGAATGAACACTTCAGAAGCAAAGAGAAAAAAGATGGAAAATTTGATATCAAAGTTTCATGACATTGTGTCCCATGGCCCATTATATGCTTGTAGCTGTTGTGACCAGTTATGGTATAAACACAGTGTTTCTCCAGCTGATAAACTAACCAATTCAAATCCTGCTGCTGAAAGATATTTACATCAAAGAAAAAGTGTCAACAACCAAGAGTGGTTGTGTAAAACATGCCGCAGTTATTTGGTGAAGAATAAAGTTCCACCTGTTGCTCTTCTATATGGAATGCAATTTCCAGTAAAAACCAGAGTTTTTTGACCTCAATGAATTAGAATGTAGACTTCTCGCTCCAATACTCGCATTTCAAAAACTAATGCAAGCACCAAGAGGAAGGCAGTTCAAAATCCATGGAAATGTTGTAAATGTACCAGCTGAAGTCTCTGATACTGTTAATATGTTGCCAAGGCTACCCAGTGAAACTGGTACAATTAAGGTAAATTTAAAGAGAAGATTACAGTATAAAAGTTCAGCATTGTCTCTCGACGTAAGACCATATAAAGTTGTCCAAGCAGCCAATTGGCTCATAAGTAACAGCAGCCTGTACAGGCAGGAAGGAATAACACTGAATCAAAACTGGGGAATGCAATGTATTGACAATTGTTTAATAGATGACAGTAATATTGAAGATAAAAACCAGCTATTATTACAAAATATTGATAAAGGCAGCAGTTGTAATATTCAAACTGATACCAACTGTAATGAAATCCTTGAGAGTGAAGATGAGTGGAGTGAAGATGAAGCAGAAATACCTGCTGGAGTTACTGACACCATGTTAACAAAGACAGATTTCATTGAAGATGGTGAAACAAAATACATTTTAAGTGTTGCACCAGGTGAAGGAAACAAACCCCTGAGTATATTCAGAGATCAGCATTCTGAAGAATTAGCATATCCTGGTATATTCCTTGGTCAAAAACCAGAAAATAAAGAGAGACTTGTTAGTGTTCATTATAGTGATATTTGTAAATCTGAATTAAGATGATCAGATAGAAGAGCTGCAATGTGTGTTGAAAACATATTTTTTAAAGCCAAAAAACTTCATATGAAAATTCTTTTGGGAAAATCACAAGTTGCCCTTAGAAAATGCAAAGGAAATAGCAGATCCTT